GATTATATTTAAGTACTGGTATTTTATGAAAATTGAATGTTAATTAAATTTGCTAAGGAAGTTTTATTATCACTTAACACTCTCAACTGTATATTGTATAATAAATCAGACAAAAACCACTAGAATTTTCTGTCAGATAATCATAGTAACTCAAAATCTTTAGAAATAAGTTTTCAAATTAAAAGTCTATTTTTAATTTTTTTCCACTAAAATGCCATATTTGTTCTAATGAAGTTAAGTCCATTACCTTGTACCCATTTAGTTAAATTCATCTATATTTTTTTTAAAACTTGTATTGTTAGGCTTTTGTTATCTTTCCCAGGCAGACGACATACCCTCTTTAGCCATTTAACAAGGGATAATGTTTCATGAGATTACTTCTTTTTATGTGACTATTTCTGTATGAATTTTAAAGGGGAATATATAATTTAAATATGGGGAAACTAAGCCTATAATATTATCACCAAGTAAACAAGCTGCAATTACGGAAGGAACTGTTTTTGTTAATTTGGTTGATTAGTGAACAGAGCTCATGAAACCAGAAACAGAAGGTCATTTGGACAGAGGGACTATATACAAATTCTTTAAATAACATGAATACAGTTGCGACTTTCATCTCTAACTTGTACCCTGTTGCCTCAAAAAAAGGATGCCAAAAGAAAAAAAGAAAAGCGAAAGATAAAATGCCAAGTCATTTTTCACTACTGAAAAACTGATCCGAGCTCACATTTGTCTTGATGAAACACTAGGCTTCATCTTCAAACTCCGACACTAAAAATTTAAATAATAAAATTTCTCTCTACTTCCCTAGCTTTCTGATATTTTTATCTGTAACAGGAATCATTCAGAAACAAATACATACAATTCTGCATTTTGCCTTAACATGGATAAATGCATTTTTCTTTGCAAATAATAAAAAATTTTAAAAGATAACATTTTCTTAATCATGAGAAAACATACATCAGATTATAAATTTTCCAAAAATTACTTGTAGTGGTAATATTTTCTTTTCTTTTAGAACTTTCAGACAAGATATTTGATACAGTGTTCAGATTTCATGTGTTTAATTACTGTCTTGACATTTTGTACATTAAGATGAGAGATGTTCTATAAGTTCAACTTGACATGATTTATCCTCCTGCTTTCAAGAATAAAACATTTCTTTCCTAATGTGTTTGAGCCTACAGTTTAATTAAAAATATAAGGCGGGTATTATGTATATTGTCTTATTTATTCAAACTTGTTAAAGAGTTTTTACCTAGCAATTAATATTTGTAACATTAAACAGATGATGGGAAGATTATATTTAGACAGCATTATAAATATGATAGAAATTTGTACTTCCAAATCTGGATATGCAGTTTTAATATTTTCTTAATTGATTCAATTTATATGTGACTACTTTGTATAAAATAATAATAACTCCTAACCTTTATTGAGTACTTTCTAGGTAGCAGATACTTTGTATGACTTTTATCATTTCTTCCCTACAATAACCATTTTAGTGACTATTATTATTTCCTTTATACAGAAGAGAGGTGAGCAGTACACATTTGTCCAACAGATAAGGAATGCTCTTGAACTCTTCTGTCTACAGAACAGGGCTGTGATAAATTTATTAATAACAATGTATCTATGTAAAGTTAATGAGGTGTTGAAAATAAGTTTTTCCATACAATTGCAAAATCTAATTTGCCTTTTAGACAAAAAATAATATTTTGCAGAAGGGAAATATCCAGTGTCCTCAAAATATATGGGAAGGGAAACTCCCCTGCCTAAAAAAAGTAGACCATAACAGAAACCAATGTAACCAATGTATACTAAATATTAATTGTGTGCTTTGCTTTTCCTCATCTGACTTGGTTTCACAAGGGACAAAAGAAATAATTGCATAGGCATTACATAAAATCCATATGCACTGTTTATAAAATTGACTAGGGATTGTCAGCTCTCACTACCAAAGTCTTTCACCTTATGATGACATTATAGTAGATACTTATATTTTTATAAAAATACATATCACTAGCTATTCCCTAAAGCTAACCTCACTCATGTTCAATTATTTATGCATCCGTTTTAATATGTATTTTGCATCTGACAGGACAACTCTCCTTTGGACCCTTTTACTGACCCACCTGTCATTATGATGGGGTAAACAATGTCACCTTTCTAGTGCACGATGAATTACAAAGAAGTTGTAAAGTACACCATCCATCATGCTGGCACTAAGTAGGCTTTTGAAGTAGATCTCAGATACCACAAATGCTATTTAGACTGTTACCAGAAAGCACAAATTGGAAGCTTATACAAAACGGTCCTATGATGAATGGACATGACAGCTCTCCAAAGGAAAGGGGCACTCCCCTTCTACAAATAACCTTGTCAAAAGCAAAAGTTGCAGTGAGCTCTGCTGGCAGTCAGAATGGAATAATTTAAGAACTGTGAATGGCTCTGCCTGACAGAAATTCATGAAAACAGAATATTCTCAAAATCAGGAAGACGGTATCCCCAGATCATCAGCAGCACCCACTCGAGCTTGATCTGAATTAGGGAAAGGCCTATGGAAACACAGAAACACCATTGATGCCTCATTAATTGTAATATGTGAATTCCAGTAGCTCTCTAAAACATATATATAAAATATACAACAGTATTCTGTATGGATATACAATAGTCAGCCTAGAAACTTCTTGATTTGGAAAATAATCCTAATATTCTTTGAGTTTTAAAATATCAGTATCAGGGGCTGGGGATGTAGCTCAGTGGTATCGCCACCTGCCTTGCAAGTGCAAGGTCCTGAGTTTGATCCCCAGTACCAAGAAAAATAAATAAATAAAATATCAGTATCAATAACTTGTTTTGTTTTCTTGATATAGACATTTAAATTTTTCTATACTTAGTGTAATAGATTTTCATTATGAATACAAGTATTAAAATAGTTATTGTCAATGACTTAATCTATTTTGCATGATTAATTTTTCAAGATATGTTCTTCAAATACAGGTATTTCTTTATCCATAATCAAATTTTAGTTTCGTGAACAATCCTTTATATATATTTGAAAGATGGATTGTATTTATTCATTAGAACCTTAATTTCTCCCTTTTAATAGCATCTTTTGAAAACCTTTTTAACTCCCTTTTATTAGAAAAGGTATCTTTAATACATTCACAAATGGTGGAATATAGTACCAAATAAGGACTTACAACTTCAAAGAAAATTGTAAAATTCCTTGAGTAAGTAGTAGACTTTGGCTTCCTTTTAAATGAAACAAAGAAACTAAACACATATAACTGAAAAGATAAAATGTAGAAAGCTCTCAGTTGTATGTGGACTCATATTGTGAAATTTATTCAGTCTCATTCTCCCTTTATTAAAATAGGCCAACAGATTATAACAAAGGACCATGCTGAGGACACAAGTTGTAAATTCACGGCTTTTCCATATATCACCTTAGTTGAGCAACTGTCAGTGTTTGCCATAATAAACTGTAAAGCAAGTAGGTAGGGGCAATTCCAAGGAACTATTAGTGCTTCTGTCCTTGCTCTGTTTTAGACATGCTTCTGTTAGGGGACAAAATTATATTGCTGGATTTGAGCCAATTGGACAAAAGAGAAGGCAGGAGGTGTATGTATGGGGCTTATGAAGGTTAAGAATCTGAGAGAAAATATGCGCCTAACTTTTAAAACCTTGGCCTAATGCCAAAACTTCTGAACCAAGGAAAGGCTGCTGGCTGCAGCTCTCTATTTTTATTAATATGCAGGTGTGTTTCATTTCCATTATTGCCTACCAGAAATAACGTATATTAATCAAATCAAATTATAAGAGTGCTACAGTAGGAATACTGCAGACATTTAACATTAAATTAAATTCTAATTAATTTAATGGTAAAACTTCTCAAGGTTGTGCTGGGTTTTTTGCAGCACCGTTAAAAGGCAAAGCGTAATATGACATAGAGTAGAAGCAGTGCTGAAACACAAGTAAATCTGCATCTGCCACCCCCAATTCCCTCCACAAAAAGCTTGTATTAGCAACAAGCATTCATTATTGCACTATTCTGAGTATTTCTGCAAATTAGCTGCAAATGATTTAAATATTTCATATACTAACCATAATTAATAAAAAATTAAGAGTTTTCAGAGAATCGTATCATCACAACAATCAGAAACATAACATTGAATTTGTATTAAATGAGAACATTATAATAGTAGGAAGCTAGAGATCAACTATTAATGATGTATATGACTTACATATCACTCTTACTATAGACTATGCTCTGCCCTCTGGGATAGACATGTATTAGGTAATTTAATTCTCAGGACAGCTTAAGAAAGTCAGGCCTATTATTATTCTCCTTACAGAGATAAAGGAACTCAGCATTGGATGGCTAAGGAACAGTGGGAAACTGCAGAGCTGAGATTTAAAACTAATACGTGTGGCTCTAACAGCCGCACTCAGCCACTATGCCAACAAAACAGTGCCAAAGCCCCGGCACCCCCGTAAAGGTGGAGGAAGAATCCACACCTGGCTCCCTATCACGTGTGCTTTCCATCACTAAAGCAGAAATGCTGTATTTCAAGTCTTCCATGTGTGAACAGTCACATCGGTGTCCCACCTCATTTCTTATGTGCACACACAATCGCAAAACACAGCCCCTCCGCTTGCACTCTTTCTCTCCCTATCACTGCATTAAAATTCACCTCTTCAAGACGATATGTGAACTAGACTTGCACTTTATGGTCTGAGCAAAATGTGAATGACTTAGTCATATATTCAACACTTTTGAATTAAATTTTTCTAACCTGCTTTCGCTTTCAAAATATGACCAGAAAAGCACTGGGCAATCTCTAGCTTCCTTCGCTTTCCTGGCACCCTCACACTGACAACGTTTAATGGTTACTTTTGTATGTTGCATCTTGCCAGTTAGTTCAATTTAGACGAAAGCTGTTGTTTTCTAATTCCATTTCACTGTAAATGACAGAGACAAATGGTCATATTACCTCAAGAGTTCCTTTGGCAGAATAAGCTGCATAGGAGTATAGCAGATCTTGGCTGCTGTCTTTTCTGGCCCTTTCACTGCAAGGCTGGCCATTAGGATGAAAGCATTGGCCGCTGCTGCTCAGCGTCACTGTGCTGGGCCAAGGGCCTGGCAGATTTAGGAGCACGGAGTAATTCACAAACTGTACGTCTTCTAAGCCCACAGCAGTCCAGTGAGTCTTAATCGCCTTTGAGATTTCCATGTCATCTTCACTTTTATAGAGCTCTACCAAATTTCTGAAAAAAAAATTTTAAAAGCACATTTTAAACAAAGGAAAAAGCTTTATTCTTTTGAGACATGACAGTTTACCATATGAACTATTATTAATAGATGTTGTAGGAAATGGAAAAATGAAGAAGACAAGATCCTATCACAAAAATTTACAGTGTGGTAGAGAGTACAGGCTTATAGAAGAATTATAGTAAATCAAGCAGGATGGATCAATTTCTTAAATTAAGAGCTAAGCTCTGTGGGACTGCAGAGAAGAGTGATTAATGCCATATAGTCCTCTTATGACTCCAATCCTCCTATCAATATTAACATAATCCACTTAAAAATCAGTTTCAAAAGTATGTGTCTTACTGGTTGAGGTAACTCTGCATTATACTTAATATGGCTCCCTACAAAATTATTGATTAACATACAGCTACTGCTATTTAAAATAATAGAAAGAGCATTGGATTCAATTTACATGAGAAATAACACGATATGATGAGCAATGCAATCACTATACAAATAGTAAAACCAAAACGTAGATTGACAAACTAATACATAATTTGTGTTATGCCTTTTATGGTCTCATACTTATCTATAGATAAATAGTATCATCTGCCTTGATATAATCTATTTTTATTTATAATATTTTATAAGTTAGGCAAAAATCTGTGTAGCGTACATTCAGACATGGGAAATTAATAATAATAATTAATGCACTTTTAAAAATTCTGTAGCTGAAATGGAAAAGAACCAAACTATGACTAGCTTCCCTTTTTCAGTGACAATGTATTTATTATAAGAATTGTATTGCCATCCAAGTTATTACCTAAGTGCTAATTTTTATATTGTTATTTTTGTCCATTATGTTTTTATACTTATATATTTAGTTGAGGACCTGGTTTATTCAAAAATCCCAAACAGAACACATCTGATAAAAGAATAAGAAGACACAATAGTTTAGCAAAGCATTATTGGAGCAAAAAAAAAGTAGGTTTGTTGACATAGCTTGGCAACTGGCCTACATAGGAAGATGCAAAAATAAACAAACAACTTCCTAGATATTATTGATCAACATTCAGATCAAACTCAGGCCCTCCCATGGACTAGACAAGTGCTTTACTACTGAGATATAACCTTAGCCCTTTTTATTTACATATACACAGATATAAAATCTATAAAATCGAGGTAATGGAAAATTTAAAAGTCAGATTGATACCTGGGGATCAGGGTATGGGATAGAATGATATAATAATATATCCCTATCCATTTTTATTTTAGTTTTGAGAAAAGGTCTTGCCCAGTTGTCTGAGCAAGCTTTGAACTTCTGATAATTCTGCCTTAACCTCCCAAGTAGCTAAGATTGTGGGCATGTGCTGCTGTACCAAGATTTGTGCTGTATATTTAGAAGCTATTTCTAATATTTCTGAATTGCCTTATAAGTAGCTACCTGTATGAATCAATATTGCAGTAGTTCTTAAGTATTATGAATGATCAGATTAAAGGAGTTTCATTTTTTACTCCCCTTGACACTGGCCTGCTTTCTACCCTGTTCAGTCATTCCTTAATCTAACTCCCCATCTCCTGTTTGCCTATGGCTACTCTATTTCCCCTGAACTATTTAGGACCAGGAAGGTAAAGTGAGTCAAACCTTCACCAATTTTGATTTAAAAAGTTATTCAGAAGTACTTCAATAATGTTATTTTGAAATGCGTATAAAGTGACATTTTAGAATACATATCTAACTTATGCAATTTTAACTACATGTGGTAAAAATATTAGCAGAAACATGGAAGAAAAATTTGAATACTGCTTTAAATTCTGTTTCCCAGTAACAGATAAACATAAACACATGAGTGAGTGTGGAAGACATTTAATCTGTATTCACTTTGTTGATCTCAGTTCCTAAGGGTTTTTGTAGTGTGGACGTGTCAACAAAACACTGAATATTTCAAGATGCATATATTTTACTAGTACATGACCTCAAAAGGCAAATCAAATACTTCTTTCAGGGATCAATTAAAAATGAATACTTTTTCCCAATTCCAGAGAAATTCAAAATATTATTCAGTATAAATATAAACTATCAAAGTTAAAGAATGTATATATTATTTTTCAGTTTGTTAAATGTGTTTTTACATTATAACTTCATTTTTAATGCTGTGAGGAACTTGAATGCATAAAGAATATACACCATGGAAAACATGAAGGTAATGAAATAAAACCTCAGATTATGTAGTAGATAGAATATCTCAAATATTATTGAAGTCCCTTGCATATTCTTATTAATCTTTCCCATACCCTGATACCCAGGGTAATGATCAATCTGACTTTTTTGTTTCCCATTTCCTTGTTTTTAGAAATTATGTATCTGTGTGTACGTAGCTTATTTTTACTTTATGTATTTTATTATTGTATAATTAATATCTTACATAGTAATTATTTGACTTACATTTCTTCACTCAGAATAGTGTATCTGAGATTCTTTCAGATTTTTGACAGCTCTCTTGGGACAAATATTTTAAATTGCTTCCCATTTTTCACCATCATAAACAATGCTTCATTGATAATTTTTATTTATTATTAATATTTTAATAGGCATATACAAGAGTCTCTCTACACTAGAAATTATTTGTTCACAGAGTATGCACCTGTGGAACTTTAGTGAGAATGCCAAAATGTTGTCAAAAGCATTTTGATTACTCTCTTGCCAACTCTTTACCAGTTTTATTCTTTCATTCCTAGTAACACTTGGTGTTGTCTTGTTTTGTGTTTTAGTTTATACTTTGCAAATGTGACAGTTGTGCAATTATATTTCATTGTGCTTAACTCAGAATTGTAATCACTTCATTGCAATGTCTACCTAGTTTTCCAATGATTTTTGTTCCCCAGCACTATTTAAGAGACCCATTGATAGTGCATCTATTTATTGATATACAGTGTAGGCAAAAATTTATTCTATTATGCTTTTAATTTGTATTCTCAGGATTACTAATGAGGATCTTTTCATGAATTATTTAACTATATTTCTCTCCTCTTCTGTGTAATAACTGTTCTTGTTTTTTGCTTATAAGTGGGCCCTTGACTTACAAACTCAATTTGCTCCAGAGGGCTTGTTGTAACTCAAGTTGGTCAACTGAAGACTCAGGCTCTTCTATACAGCCTTCAAAGTCTCTCCTGCATAAAAGCAGATCTCAGCTTCCTTATACATTGACCCAGGATTCTCAGTTAACCCCACACAGCCACACAGCAAAGGGTGCTGTAATGTTCCTTCCAGAACTTTTTAAGGGTTAAATCTGTATCTGAAACAATCTGGAAATACAAACAGCTGGCATTCTGGTTGTAACTCAAGGTTTTGTTTGTAAGTTAAAACTAAAATTCTAGTTGTAACCCAAATTGTTCATATGTCAGGCTGATTGTAACTCAAGGGTCCATTGTAGATGTTTTTCATTTCATTTTAGGTTCTGAATCATTCTTTTGAAGCCATATACATGGTATTTTCTTCAGTTATTTTACTTCCTTTTCATTTGTAATATATTGCATAATGAATAAAAGTTCATAATTTTACATACATAATTTTAATATAATGTCCAGTTTACACATTTTCTGATATGGTTTAGAAATATTCCTCAAACACGAGGTCATGGAGTTGTTCTCTTTTTTTCCTAAAGGTCTTACAAAATAGTTTCCTTCATTTTGGGATTTACCAGTACAAACAGTGAGAGGGAGGAAGAAGGAAAGGACAGAAAGGTGAGAGGTTCAAATCTAATTTCACTTTTTCCCACATGAACAACTATCCTAGCACTCCTTAAGTATATTGCCCTAATATGCAGTAATGATTCTGTCACACGAGAGCTTTTATATGTGTTATAGGTTTGTCTGAGCTCCCAACTGAGCTCTACCAGTCTTTTGGATGCATCTTCCTAATGATGTGATTTTTAAATTATTACTGCCTTTATAGCAAGTTTTTAAAAAATATCTAGAGTGGCAAGTTGTCTCACTTGTTCTTCTCCAAGAACTTTCTATTTTTCTTTTTCTCTTCCACATTAACAGTGGAATAAACTTTTTAATTTCAGTATCAAGACTGTGATTAGAATTATACTGAGACTAAGTTGGAGAAAATATGACATACTTGAAATACCATTAAATCCTTAATATTATTGTCATGATCTGAATGTTTGCATAATCCCCAAATTAGTATGTTGAAAGGCCAAGACCCAAAGTGATGTTATTAAAAGGGGAAGTGATAGGTGTCCTTCTAAAAGAGACCAAGGGAGGATTTTTGCTCCTCCTACAACATACAAAGACAATGCTGGAAGGCAATACCTTTGAGCAAAAAAGTTCCAACCAAACACTGAAGTCATCTTTATCTTCGACTTCCTAGCTCCAGAACTGTGAGCAAGAAGTTATTGTTACTTATAAGTCGAAGGAATTTCTAGTCTAAGGTATTTTGTATAATGTGAAATAGGAAGAAAGGGTCCATAGGGGAAGGGGAAGTGGGAGGAGTAGGAATCAGCAAAGGGAAATGGAATTAACATGAGAAAATGAAAAAATGGAAACAAAGACTCTGTAAATAGGGAAGGGTGGAGGGGTTAAAAGAAGGGCAGCATATGGAAGAATATAAGCGTCTAGATATATTATATAAAGGTATAAATCTCCAGTGATGAATGTCATTATATTGTATACCTAAAATGTACCAATACAATTAAAATCAAAATAAATAAATAAATAAATAATAGATGAAAGCAATCTATTGACATAAAATATGATTTATAGTTGAAATATTTATCTGGATATTGCTGCTATAAAGAAATATTATTTAGTTCTATAAAGTAACTACTAAACTTTCTATTCTATTTTCTTGCTTTTTTGTTTATGTAAAAAAATTGTCAAAATGTATTTCTTCCATTCTCATAATTTGTAGACTTTTTTGTTTCTATACAGGCAGTGACCTCCATGTTTTCTTGAATAAAATATTTAATAAAGTATGTTAGTGGATATCCATGTTGTATTGTAAATATCA